TAAGGAGGGCAGCCAGGGTCAAGGCTCCTTGGGGTAGAATGGACATCACGGGCAGCCCAAGCGTCCGTCCAGACCTGCACGAGACTTCTTTTGTGGGTCAGGAGGCCTGTGCACTGACCCCACATGTCTTTACTCTGAGCTGGGATTTTACCTAGTTCATTTCACTTAATCTCGAGTAAAGGGTCCTGTGATTATGTCCATTTTATGGACAAGAAAGCTGAGGCCCAGAGAGGGTAAAGTAATTTAGTTTGGTTGGTTAGTCAGGAGTTAAATTGAGGTCCATTTGATGTCAAAGCTCTCGCCTTCTCGTTCAGTCCACGGCCCTGTTCTCTGCCGGCTCCCACCCCAAGGTACTGGGGCTGAGGCAGATGATCTGGTGTCTCCACTCAGGAAACTGGGGGTGGCTGATAATCCTGGGCCCGTAGCCATGAGAAGGGCTTCGGGCAGGGCAGTGCTGGGGTGCAGAGGAGCCCCCGACCTCCGTGAGGTCAGCTCCCTCCAGGGCGCGGTGGGAAGAGGGTGAGCTGTTGGGGACGCTGGAGCTGCCCAGCTGCCCGGGGGCAGTGTGTGTGTGTGTTTCGGGGTGCTCGAGAAGGGGGCGGCGCTGCATGGTGGTGGCCGGTGGGCACCGGCTCAGCCCCTGCTGGCCGCCTTGCCCGTCTGGGGAAGCCGGGGAAGCTCCATCGTGTGGTCCCCTCCTCTGTGCCGCAGGCCATGCCGAGGGGCCACAGAAAGACCTGATGAGGGTGAGGGTGGCAGGTGAAGAAGGGAAGAGTCTTGGAAGAGTTCAGGAGTTGTTCTCAGGAACTGGGGCCGTGACCTTTTCGGAGTCAGGGTGTGAAAAGAGAAACTAAAACTGCATCCTGTCCGCCTGGCGAGGAGCCCTGTTGTCATCGTTTCCTCTGTCTTGGCAGCGAGGGTCTGCCAACCTGTGAGGTGCGACTGGGGCGCAGGTTGGGGAGGGACGGTGAGGTGACCAGGAAGGGAAGCCCCTCTGGTACCTGTGGCCTTGGACTGGGAGTCAGACCCAGGCACTGTGACTTCAGTAGGTCACTCCACTCAGCCACACGTCTTCATTGGTAAAATGGCGACCCTCCTGTTTGTCCTACCAGGTTGCTGCGAAGATGAATAGAGCGGTGGATGCAGAGTGCTGGGTGCTGTGCCGGCCACAGAGCTGAATGGAGGTGGCGGGGGCGAGGGTGCTTTTTTTTTTTTTTTTTTTTTTATCAGTGGCAGTGATGACAGGAGGCCCAGAAACACTGGTGCCCGCCTTGTCAGAGCTCATCCTCAGACTAGTTCTCGCTCTCCGATAAAGCCCCTTTCAGCATTTTTTGGCATCTTCAGTAGTCCAGCACGGAGCGCTCGGAAACGTGTTCCCCTGCTTGCACTACCTCTGCTGGCAGGGGACAGTCGTCTGTCGCCCTGGTCCCGGTGTGCACTCCTGCCCAGTCGGGTGATGCTCCCAGCAGTGGCTGCTGAGAGCTGGTCTGAGGGCGTGGCACCTGCACGGCTTGCCTGTCCGCCTGGCTGGGCTCCCAGGGCAGGGGTGGAGAGACGGGGCAGGGGACACCAGCGGGGCTGGACCCCAGAGCACGGCACGGCCTGCCTCTGCTCGCGGCTCGGGAAAGCTGCCTTCACTGCTGCCTTGCGTGCTGTTCCCGTGGTTTTCTTCCATCTGTTTGAGGGGTCCCAGCTTGTCACCGAAGGAATAGTAATGATGGTAAAGAGGCACCATCCCCTGGCCATTGACTGTCGACCAGCCCTTGTGAAAACACAAACTATCTTCTTTATTCCTCACACCATCTCAAGAGGGAGTACTGATATGTCCATTTCATAGTTGAGGAAACAGGCACACTGAGGTGCATGCAGTAACCTTCCCGGGGTCCCGCGGCCTTTCAGAGATGGAGCCAGGGTAGCCTCTGTCCTGTGACAGGGCCTAGAAAGTGAAGAGGTGGTCAGAGTGCCGGCGAGCGGGTAGCGAGAACGTGGCTGCACCCGCACTGTGGCCAGCTCCCTCCTAAGGCTGTGGTGCGGGAGGAGCTGTTCTCCTGCAGCTTGGCCAAGTGCTCAGCCCGGATAAGGCCTGGAGTCACATGGGGTCAACGTCCTCCGTCCATCCGACCCGTGTAAATGAATGGGGTCGCTCTGTCTGGAGGGGAATGTTTATGTCCGCCTGCCTTTCAGACTTGGCTGACCTCAGGCCGTGGGGTCTGCATGTTTGGATGGTGGCACGTCCGGGACACCCTCTTCCCAGCTGTGCCCAGATGCCTTGTTTCCATGCTCTCTCTGCCACCGGCAGGGATGAGCCCAAAGTGGCGGAAGGGAGGGGTCCACCTGCCCCCAGAGGAGTGAATGAGATGTTGGCTTCACAAATTGTGTCTTCTTGGAATGGCACCTTACTAAGGTTTGAGGAGAGAAAATCTTTGAATGTTAAAACAAGGATGGTGAGGATACGACATCAAACACAAAGATTACTTGCATTTTAAACATAAAACAAGAACTTCAAAGAAGTTTCAGGCTGGTGGCAGACTCAAACAACTTGATTGGCCACCTTGGGGCCACTCCCTACTCACTGGTGCCTTGGGGACAAGTGGGAGGACCGGTGTTGCGGAGTGTCCCGGTTGGGGCACGGTTCCAGGATGTCAGCTGAGGTCAGATGGAAGGCAGATGCTGGGGGTCTTACAGGAAAGCATTTGTCCGTCACCATTTCCCTGGCCACTGTCCAGGTGTGGGCGGGCGGGTCTTAGTGAAGAGACTGTTCTGGTCTAGGCTGAAGCTCTGACACAGATCCTGACCCTACAGGTATTATCGGGGGACCCACGGGGTCATCGTGGTTTATGATGTCACCAGTGCTGAGTCCTTTGTCAACGTCAAGCGGTGGCTTCATGAAATCAACCAAAACTGTGATGATGTGTGCCGGATATTAGGTGAGGCTGGACCCCCTGGGGTGGGGACGGAGGCATGGAGGGCGGCAGGGAGCCCTGCAGGGCTGGGCTGACTTTGCTTTGCCTTGAAGTGGGGAATAAGAACGACGACCCTGAGCGGAAGGTGGTGGAAACAGAAGATGCCTACAAATTCGCGGGGCAGATGGGAATCCAGTTGTTTGAGACCAGCGCTAAGGAGAACGTCAATGTGGAAGAGGTAAGGCCTGGGCCGGGGCGGCAACGGGGGAGGGAGTGGGGCCCAACTCTGTCCCGCCACAGCCCTCCTCTCTCTGCTTCTAGCCTGCCCAGAGTCCCAGGTGGCTGACAGAAAACATCATAGTAACTGCCGTTTGTTGGTACCCTACTGTGTGCCTGCTGCATGCGTTATGCTAGGCCCTTTACAGGTGGTGTTAGCTCATATCTCAACAGGCCTCAGATGTAAGTTACTTCCACATTTTATATAGGAAGCTGAGGTTCCAAATTGAGGAATATCCCCCAACTTGTAAGAGGCCAAGACCAGTCCCACACCCCAGCCATGCATGGTTCCCACTCAGTCGTCTGCCTCGCTGCCCTCCCCGGCCCCACCACTTGGTACCTCTTCTGTTCTCAAGGCTTTCCTTAGGGCCTCGGCCTCCCGGCAGACACCCAATTGCTTTCCTGTGGCCTCCAGAGTTCAGGTTGGCACCTGCTGCGAGCCCCCCCAGAGGCTCCCAGGGATGCACATCCCCCGCAGAGCAGCTGAGCCTCCGGCCAGAGGCAGCTTCGCTTCTGCTAGGCCTGCTGGAGAGTGGTTGGGAGTCTGTGTTAGAAAAGTGGGACCTTTAGCCACAAGCGCAGGCCAGGCATGCTTGTAGCTTTGGGTGAGTCCCGCCCCACAGTGTGTGTCTGGAGACCCAGGGATGCCAGGATTCCCACTGCTTCCCAGACACTGACCGCACAATGGCAGGGAGCCTAGGCGCATCAAAGTCGGGTTTGGGATCATAGTATGGGGTCCTTTCTGCGTGACCTTGGGCGGTGATGTAACCTGTCCAGGTTCCACCTGTCCCTCCTGTAGGTCAGGGTGGGGTGAGAGTCGTTCTCCCGCACCCCTAGGTTTTGAGGAGTAACAAGCAGATTATGACAAGTGCTTGGTACCTTTCCTGGCAGTGTGGAGGAGAGGACTGCAGGCGGGCAGGTGGGGTTCCACTGGGTCCTGGCACCACAAGGACATCTTGGGGTGGTCCGGGGAAGGTTCTAGGCGGGATGTACAGTGACACGGCATGGAGTGGGCAGGCTCTGGGTCCATCTGGCCTGTCACCAGAACAGGTGTCTTGTCCGAAGATTCTAGCTGGAGAGGTTCTTTTTTTTTAAAAGAAAGACTGGAAAATCCCCGAGATTGACTTCCCCAAGACACAGCTCATGGGGCTTTGATGTTCCTTTTTGACCTTTAGCAAACCCTAGGAAGCATTTGAGGACGTACATATACAACAACCTCACGAGTAGAAATAGAAAGCTGGGCCCAGGAGGTGGCCGTGCTGGCCAGCAGAGGTGGCACAGTGACAGGGCCTCCTCGCCGGCTGTGAGGCCCACCCTGTCTCTTTCATCCTCACAGATGTTCAACTGCATCACAGAACTGGTCCTCCGAGCAAAGAAAGACAACTTAGCGAAACAGCAGCAGCAACAACAGAACGATGTGGTGAAGCTCACGAAGAACAGTAAACGAAAGAAACGCTGCTGCTAATAGCCCACCCAGCCCACTGCAGAGACTGCGCTGCGGCCGCTCCCCGGCCCGAGGCCCGCAGGGCTCCTCGGGGACAGTCTCAGTTTCGTGCCGTTATTTAAAGAATTCTCTCCACGTTTTTGTATTGGGAGGCGCCATTGGCACTTCCTCCCCTCCCCCTCTTGAGTGCCAAGAAGGTGTTGGACGACCTGCCCTTCCCTTCTGGTGCCCCTACCCC